CGTCCCTCCCCTTCTCGTGCCTGGACCCCGCTTTTTGTTACCATCTTGTAGATCCTTCTGTGGACCTGTGTTCCCCCACAGTCTCCCAGACCCCCTGCAGACCTTGCCTGCCCCCTCCCCACAATACCCCTGTAGCTGCTGTCTGCTCCCTGGAGCCCACCCAAAGGCCCCTTGCCCCATGACCCCAACACTTGTTCCCACTAGTGTCCCTTCACCCCCCACAACCTGCTTTATAATTGAGGGCCATTTTCCACTTGATCTAACCTGCCCCTAACCTCCCCACATGTGTATTTGCACCATTAAGGAAGGGTGGAGTGGTCATTTTGGTAAACCATCAAGAATCTTAAATCCTGGAAATAGATTTCTGCTCTTTGACACACAACTCTAATCTCACGTGGGTAGTAAAACACTACAGAATATTTTGTTTAATTTATTCAGTACACCGGATGGGTTTGTTAATTTTCATAATCCTGACCATATATCTCTTCAGAATAAAAGGTAAACACCTGGGGAATTAATATAGTGTAGTTAGTAAGTAACTGTCTTCTAATAAATCCAAGATCAGAAGGATAAGATTGTACTACAGCCAAATAAAGGCTGGCAAGCAGGCACCTAGCCACACACCAAACCTCCAGCACAGCAAAGTGCAATGGCTATGTGTGCCAGTGGTCTTGTGTAGCTTGCACAAGCCATTGCAGGTGAAGATGCAGCAGCACAAGCCTTACGTATTCTGTTACATTTGCTGTAACAAAGTAGGCCTTTAATAATGATTTCTATTTGTTTTTATTTGTTTAGAGACCAAGAATGCAGAAATTGGTAAGTGTCCTGACCCTTGTTCCAAAAGGTCGATTTTTTGTTGGAAGTTGTGTTCCCATACGAATGATTGCTAAATTCATTACTGCGGAAGCTATTACTATGTAATTAAAAAGGACATGACTAAAGCTGAGAAAATTTGTAGGGAAGGGTGATATGAAGATGTGACAAGCATTGAAATAGAGAGCATTGGGGTGGAAGAGATCTCACAGTGCAGTTTCCCTTTTTTCCATTAGCCATTCAGTATAGTAGTTACATACTAATGAAATAGAGACACATAATACATAAGAAACAGAGAAAGCACAACCACGTGCTCTTCACATTAAGGACAGGAAACCATGCAAATGTCAGAAAACCTCCTACACATCTTCAAACCACCGGTGAATTTCACCCATAAGAATTCATTGCTTTATTTGCTGTAACAGATGGTCTTGTTAGTAATGATTTCTATTTGATTTTGTTTAGTGAAACAGAAGTCTGAAATTGGTAAGTGCTATCTTTCTTCTTCCAAAAGGTAGGGTTATTTTCTTCTTGTAAAAGAAGGGATTTCCTACTTGATTAATATTATTTTCTGGGTGGTTTTTCCAATGTAGTTAAAAATGTTGTAACTAAACCTGAAAAATGCACAGGAAAGGATGGCATGAAGATGTGATAATCCATCAATACATACAGCTTTGGGGTGGAAAAGATCTCACAATGCAGTTTCTTTGCAGATCTCACAATTTTAGTACTTACATCCTACTAGCATACTGACACAGAACATCCAAGTGAGGGAGAAAGCACAAGCTCTTGCTCTTCAGAGAAGGGCATGAACATATCAAAGCGTCATCAGTTGTACAATATCTGGGGCCAGGGGTCATATAATCAATCACAGCCCTTTGTCCCATAAATATATTTCATTTCTAGAAAGCATGTTCCTATAACAGCAAGGCTGTCCAACTTCCAGGCAGCAGAGGGATGCAGGTCCAGGGGTGGCAGAGCTGAAGGTGGCACACTGTACTGGAAAGCATGCCCCCCTGCCCAAGCTCCCGTCCACCCTCTCAGCTGTTCAGCTCAATGTCACTCCCCACAGCTGCATGCAGAGCTCCCTCCTTTTCCTGGCTGTAGGCTGCCCCGTACTCCCCGTGCAGATGACACACAATGGAAAGCCCCCCTCATGAAACACTTAATGCACACAAAACCAATTCTATGCTCCCTTAGCGTATCATGGTGATAGACATGTGAATACAATAATGTGCAGTTGAATTAGTCTTCTGCATGCTGCTATTACCCGTGTGCCGACGCTACTCTGCACTAGTGACAGTTTTGGGTTTGGTTTAGCTCCTGTTTTTACATTTACTGAAGTAAATGGGCGGTAACTACATGGCACTAATGAATGTGTAGACTCAGCCAGGGAGTGCAATATCAACTGTGAAAAGTATACATCATTCCACTTAAGGCATAATGTTGAGATTTTTATGCCCTTGAATTACTTCCCTGGAATGTCAGAGTCTCCCTGGATGTGGCACTTTTAGGGCACATATAGACATTTGGGGAGGTTAAGGGAGGTTCGAGCATGTAAAAGAATGAGCACCAGATCTAGCTTAGCTTGCCCATGTGCAGACCATTCTTGTAAAAGAAGGGATTTCCTACTTGATTAATATTATTTTCTGGGTGGTTTTTCCAATGTAGTTAAAAATGTTGTAACTAAATCTGAAAAATGCACAGGAAAGGATGGCATGAAGATGTGATAATCCATCAATAAACAGCTTTGGGGTGGAAAAGATCTCACAATGCAGTTTCTTTGCAGATCTCACAATTTTAGTACTTACATCCTACTAGCATACTGACACAGAACATCCAAGTGAGGGAGAAAGCACAAGCTCTTGCTCTTCAGAGAAGGGCATGAACATATCAAAGCGTCATCAGTTGTACAATATCTGGGGCCAGGGGTCATATAATCAATCACAGCCCTTTGTCCCATAAATATATTTCATTTCTAGAAAGCATGTTCCTATAACAGCAAGGCTGTCCAACTTCCAGGCAGCAGAGGGATGCAGGTCCAGGGGTGGCAGAGCTGAAGGTGGCACACTGTGCTGGGAAGCTCACCCCCCTGCCCAAGCTCCCGTCCACCCTCTCAGCTGTTCAGTTCAATGTCACTCCCCACAGCTGCATGCAGAGCTCCCTCCTTTTCCTGGCTGTAGGCTGCCCCGTACTCCCCGTGCAGATGACACACAATGGAAAGCCCCCCTCATGAAACACTTAATGCACACAAAACCAATTCTATGGTCCCTTAGTGTATCATGGTAATAGCCATGCGATTACAATAATGTGCAGTAGAATTAGTCTTCTGCATGCTAGAATCTCCTAAAAAGTGTGTGCCAGCGCTACTCTGCACTATTGAGTATTGTGCGCTTTAGTTTAGTTTCTGTTTTTACATTTACTAGAGTAATGGGCAGTAGGTACGCAGTTGTAATAAATGCATAGACTCAGCCAGGGAGTGCAATATCAACTTTGAAACGTATACATTATTCCACTTAAGACGTAATGCTGAGAATTTTATGCCCTTGAATTACTTACCTGGCATGCAAGAGTCTCCCTGGATGTTGCAATTTTAGGGCACATATAGACATTCGGGGAGGTTTAGGGAGACTATATCATGTTAAAGAAGGGGCACCAGATCTAGCTTAGCTTGCCCATGTGCAGACCTTCCACTTAGAGCCCAATTTCAGTCTATCTAAGTGCTAACTGTACAGAGGTTCAGGAAGATTAGATTGGTCTAAAAATTGCCAGCCCCATCTAATGTTAGTGTACAACTGAGGCAGTCTAGTCTAGATTGGGTCCCACAACATGGACCTAACTGGCCTGCAGTACGGTTTCCTTCAGAGTCCCAGGACTACCAAAACCAGCCCCAGGCCCAGGCTGTGCTTCTGTTACTTTCCCCCTGGCACCAGGCTATTTTTAGCCCCTTGGGCCCTCATGCCACCTCTTAATGGACAATCCTGGCTGTGCAGAAACCAACCCCCACCAAGAAAACCAAATTTTCAGTCCCACAATCACTTCTGCTTCTGGTTTTAAAGGTGTTCACTCATGCCAGGAGCTAAGGAAGCAAGTCAGGATGAGCAGGGGGTGGAGGGTTAGCTCAATATGAGGGCTGGTTTCCTTTGGGTGAGAGGAATAAGGTGCCAATATAACCCTTGGTCTCAGAGGAGCAGAGAACCCCAATTATCCCAAGCCTGCCGGAACTCCCCACCTGCCCCGTGATTCTACCAAACCCTCCTGGAGCCATTCAAACCCCTTCCCGCAGACCCTGTTTGCCCCACAAGCCCTCTGATCCCCAATTTGAAGACCAAATTTGCTCCCCAGTCCACTCTAGAGATGGCACTTCTCCTCATAATCTCCCACATCTGCCAAGAGGGCCCTGCCTCCCTCCCCTTCTCCTGCCAGGACCCTGCTTTTCCTTTTGGATCTGGTAGATCCCTCTGTGGACCTGCTTTCCCCCAAAGTCTCCCAGACCTTGCCTGTCCCCTCCCCCAATACCCCTGTAGGCCCTGTTTGCTCCCTAGAACTTTCCCCAAAACTTCCCTTCCCACCAACCCCGACAGTTCTTCCCACTAGTCTCCCCCACCCCCTGCAACCTGCTTTACATCGGATAGCCTTTTTCAACTTGATCTAATCTGCCCCTAACCTCCCCACACATGTATTTGTACCATTAAGTGAGGGTGGATTGGTCATTCTGTTAAAACATCAAGAATATTAAGTCCTGGAAATAGGTATCTGCCTTTTGACACACAACTCTAATCTCACGTGGGTAGCAAAACACTACAGAATATTTTGTTTCATTTATCCAGTAAACCTGGTGGGTTTGTTAAATTTCATAATCCTGACCATATATCTTTTCAGAATAAAAGGTAAATGCCTGGGGAATGAATATAGTGTATTTAGTAAGTAACTGTATTGTAATAAATCCAAGAGCAGTAAAATAAGATTGTACTACAGCCAAACAAAGGCAGGCAGGTAGGCACTCTGCCACACACCAAACCTCCAGCACAGCAAAGTTCAAAGGCGCCATGTGCTAGCAGACTTTCATAGCTTGCACAAGCCATTGCAAGTGAAGATGCAGCAGCACAAGTCTTATGTATTCTATTACATTTGCTGTAACAAAATAGACTTTTAATAATGATTTCTATTTGTTTTCATATGTTTAGAGAACAAGAATGCAGAAATTGGTAAGTGTCCTGACCCTTCTTCCAAAAGGTCGACTTTTTGTAAGAAGTTGTGTTCTCATATGAGTGATTGCTTAATTTCATTATTGGGTCTGCTATTAACGTGTAATTAAGAAGAACATGACTAAAGCTGAGGAAATCCGTAGGGAAGGGTGATATGAAGACATGAGAAGCAATAGCAATAATGAGCTTTGGGGCGGAAGAGATCTCATGGAGCAGTTTCTTTTTTTCCCATTAGCCATTCTTTATAGCAGGTACGTACTAATGAAACACAGACACATAATACATAAGAAACAGAGAAAGCACAGGCCTCATGCTCTTCACATTAAGGACATGAAACTATGCAAGTGTCAGCACTTGTACAATATCTGCGCACAGTCTTCCCAACCAATCATATCCTTTGTTTCAGCAGTAAAATTTGTGTCTAAAAATTCTAGTCCTTGAACTACCGGGCTGTCCAGCTTCTGGGTAGCTGAAGGCCACAAACCAGGGGTTACACACTCCCGAATTTCTCCCTTTACCTCACTGGGGAGGAATCGGTATCAGCCTATTTTAGGCACTCTTGACTTCTCACGTTTAGGCTACCGACACCAGCGGTTGGGAACATTTTTCCAGGGGCAGGATGCAGTGAGTCAGCTATGCTGTAGCCCTGCCTGAGTCTGAGGTGGGCCAATGCTAGGACCCAGCTGCTGCCACTGCCACCACTTTTCCCTCCTACGTGGCCACAGCGTGGCTTGGGGAAGCTCCCTGCTGCCTGGCTGTGGTGTGGCAAAGGCAAAGCTCCCACCCCACTGTGCTGCTGAAGCCCTCTGACTCTGAGCCAGATCCAATCCCTGCACAGGCTGTGGCTTGCAGACATCTGGCTTACAGCATGGGAGAGGTGCAGGAACAGTCCAAACTATTCTCACTCACCATGGTTCCCATCCCCACGTGAAGGTCTTCCCTCCTTAGTCCCAAGAGGCACTGGATATGAGCAAGTGTCTTTTTCCCTCATCTGATAATTTTTTTGTCAAAAAGTTAGTTCCTCTCAGTGGTCTTTGTGTGTTAAGGTTTTTTTGAGACAAATTGTTAGTTCTTCCATTAACTTTAAAAATGTAGGGTTTAGGGTAATTTTGTGCCCCACCATCTAATACAATGCAATCATTTCACAAAAGAGAAAGGGGAGAATTTGATGCCTTTCATCTTGATTCTAAAGTCAAGAAACCCATCCAAATCTCAATTCATTCTATCTGTGAGTCAAATGGTAAAAACCTCAGACTTTATTTGCTGTAACAGCACCCCTCCACCCCCCCGCCCAAGCTCCCTTCTATCCTGTCAGCCACTCAGCTCAGTGTCACTCCCACCAGCTGCTTGCATAGCTCCCTCCTTTTACCGGCTGTAGGCTGCCAGGTACTCCCCATGCAGATGACAAATGATGGACGGCCCCCCTCATGAAACGCTTAATGTGCACAAGACTAATTCTACGATCCATTAGTGTGTCATGGTAATAGCTATTCGATTACAATAATGCGCAGTAGAGTTATTGTATTGTATGCTAGCATCAGCTATAATGTGTGCGCTGGAAGTACTCTGCACTAGTGACACTTCTATGCTTTGGTTTAGTTCCTGTTTTAACACTGACTAAAGTAAATGGGCAGTAACTACAGGGCACTAACGAATGTGTAGATGCAGCCAGGGAGTGCAATATCAACTATTAACCGTATACATCATTCCACTTAAGACATAATGTTGAAAATGTTATGCCCTTGAATTACTTTCCTGGCATGCCCAAGCCCCCCTGGATGTGACGCATTTAGGGTACATACACATATTTAGGGAAGTAAACGGAGGTTAGAACATGTTAAACAATTGCCACCCAATCTAGCTTAAGTTTCTTGCCCCCCTGGCACCAGGCTATTTTTTTACCCCGCTGGGCTATGCCACCCCTAACGGACCATCCCAACTGTGGAGAAATCAGTCCCTCCCAACCCCACCAAATCCTCAATCCCACCAGATGCTTCTCATTGCAGTTTTAAAGGTGTTCACTCATGCCCAGAGCTGAGGAAGTAAGTCAGGCTATGGGGTGGGGTCAGTGCAACAGGAAGGCTGGTTTCCTGGGGGTGTGGGGAATCAGGGGCCAAAGTAACCCTTGGTCTTGGAGGGGCAGAGAGTTCTCAAACATCCCACGCCTCCCCAAACACTCCAGCTGTCCCCTGACTCTATCAAATCCTCCTGCCCCCACAACCCGCTTTGTGCAGACCCTGCTTTCTTCCCCTATCCCTTTGATCCCCCTTGAAGACCTATCTTTCTCCCCAATTCACTCTATGGATCCCACTCTCCTATCTAATATCCCATATCCACCCAAAGGACCATGCCTCCCTCGCTTTATGCCCCTTATAATCCACTAACCTCGCAATCATATGGATCTCCCTGTGGAGCATGGTTTCATCCCCAGCCTCCCAGGCCTCCAGGACATCCTACCTCCCCCTTCCACCGCAACCCCTGTAGAGCATGCTTGCTCCCTGGAACTCACCCCTGAGCCTGCCTGTCCCCTGAACCCCATAATGATCCCCACTATTCCCCCGCTGCCCAACTTGCTTGACATTGGGTGGCTATTTTTAACTTTAATTAACCTGTCCCTAACTTTCCCCTTGTGTATATGTACCATTAAGGGAGGATGGAGCTGTAATTCTGTTAAACCATCAAGAATGTTAAGTCCTGGAAGTAGGTGGGTTAATGCTAGTACCCTGCTGCTGCCAATGCCATCACTTCTCCCGACCATCTAATCTTCCCAGTAATCTTTGTAAGTAAACAGCGCTCACCGCTAGTGGGGTGGGCAAGGGGTGCTGCTCCACTGCTCCCTTTTGGTTTCAGAAGCACTGAGCTCTTCTAGACCTCCAGCAAGCAAGGGTCTTTGAGTAGATGAAGCCTCTTAAGGCTCGGATCAAGTGCAGTGCCTGTTCTTCACCTGGCTGGGGAGAAACATGTATCTGTGTCCATGACAGCAGTGCTTCCAAAGCGCACCTGGGGAGAACTGCTCTTAGGGCGTGGGTCAGTGCTGCCGAGGTGTAGGGCTTTAAGCTCACTTTATGGAAATGATATTCTCCTCCCTAGCTTGCTTTGAGGGCCTTATAGATAAGTTCAAGCAAAACTTGGGGGCATCTCAACCCCAAGGCTCTGGGCTTGGGCCTGAAAGTAAGATGCCTGTCAAAGGATTTGGAAACATCTGAAGCCCCAGGGGTGGGTGGGGGATGTTTGCCAGTAGCCCGGCCGCTTTTGGTTCTGGTCTGACTCATGGATATTGAATTTGATTTGTCTGTTTTGGCTTTGAACATGGATAAATTTAAAAATAAAAAGATGCGGTATCTTTTATTAGACCAAGTAAGAAGTTGGAAAAAAATTCTTAGCAAATTTTTGGGTGTGTCTGCTTTTCTCAGCTGTAGAGCTTGCCCAGAGAACAGCGGAGAGTCCCTATGCCTGAAGAAGGGTGACTGCACCTGAAAGCTTGCTGAGAACTTTTTTTCCAACTACTTAATTGATCTAATGAAAGATATCACATCTACTCCAAGAACCTTGCCTGCCCAGGCCCTTCGACCAACACGGCTACGACCAAAAACCCTCAAGACCTTGAGCATACTCGAGAAAATAAACTCTTCACTTCTTGGCCTTTTAGCTAAGATCAAGTGTAGGGGGCATTCAAATCCCCAAGACCTCTGGGCCTACAAGTAGGAGTCCTGCCAATGGATTTTGGAGTATCTGAGGTCCTGGCCTAAAGACACTGGGGTGGAGGGTGGTTGCTGGTAGTAGTGCTGCATGATGACTTTTGAACAGTTGAGTCAGAACTGATTTAGCGAGTTTAACTTGCAGCACAAAAATTTCCACACACACCCTCCCTGCAACAACAACAAAAAAAGCATCTCAACTCTTTAGACTCTAGGCAGTACAGGTTTCTATCTGACCTACTAGTATTTGAGGCATGTCAGTTGTTTGGAGACAAGTAGGTACTAGATCCCAGCCTGAAACCACTAGAGGGATCTATGAGTAATTACAACTTCTCTCTGCACAGAGAGATGGTAAAGTACAATGCCATCCCCTGACACAACTCCTACTTGGAGCTTGCCCGTTTTACCCTGGAGCTCTTGAGCTGAGGGCTCCTCCACCTTAGGCTGTCATACAAGTCACACTAAGCCTGGACTACTCAGCAGCCTGTGACCCACTTTTCTTTTATGGCATCAAAGCTCTTATAAATTTCACAAGTTCGAAAGGCAGAGCCCATGAGCACAAACTTGTTTCACCTGCTCTTTTAAAATGAAACTGTTAAAAAGCAGATAAAACTAAGTTAGAACAGTCAAATAAACACGAAAGAGATCCCACTTCTCTTAGCCATGCACATGAATGGGGATAGGCAGAAAAAGGATGCAGTTTTAAGCAATTGGACCTGCATACTAGTAGAGGTACGCAGATAAGCACCACAGAGAGGTTGTCATGCAGAAAACAAAGTACCCGAGTTACACTCATGAAGTGGTTAGGTGTTATTTTATTATTTATAGTCATAAAGGGATAACATCAGCTTGGAAATCCCATGAAATACCAGTGTTAATTTCTTGACTGTAATTCTGTGTATAGGTACTGGGAGATGATAAAATATTATCAAAAGTGTATCTTGGCAAAGGGTATAATTCATCGGGTGCTATAGGTTCCAAAAAAGGGACGCCAAGGGGCATTTGTGCTTCCTGTAAATGGAAAGGAAGGTCTTCATGTGAGTTTGTTAGCAGTGCTTCCTCTTTGTTTAAAGTTTGTTTATAAATTCTCACATCTTGCAGATTAGTTTATCCTAAAAACAGGAAATCAGTGGAGATACGTCAGTTAGATTCATGGTACAGTCTTGTTAAACATGTCCCCAAAATCCTCCTTCTCTGAAGGCAGCAGGAACAAGGCTCCTTGCTCAGAAATCCCTGCATTTGACCCTACAAAGACCCTCCCATGGGCTAGAAAAAGAACCAGCAGCTCATTAATTCCTCTGTAGCCTGAATAAATGGGCTCTGTAATACTTTGCACAGAAGGAAGGCTGGGATTACTAATCTTCTGTATGAGAAGCACTTAATTTCTGTATTTTTTCTTAATCCAGGAGACCTTCAACAAGAACTTGGTGAGTTTTTGTCTGTGTACAATATAACCTTTTCCATGGTATAAAATTTATCCATCTAGCTGTAGGATTCATTTTCTCCATACTGGAAAAGCTCTGTTGGAACATAAAACGAAATAACACCAAGATGCCCTTGGCTAGGGGTGTTTTGTCCATAGCTCTCAGACACTTCTTTCTGGGCTGTGTGATGTTTGTATCCCGTGGCCTTACAGCAGTTGTAGTGGTTCACAGAGGTCTTATAAATTTCACAAGTTCGAAAGGCAGGGCCCATGCACAAAGACTTCATTCACCCGATCTCTTAAAATGAAACTGTTAAAAAGCAGATAAAACCAAGTTAGAACAATCAAATAAACACGATCGAGATCCCACTCTCTTGGCCATGCACATCAATGGGGATAGTCGAAAAAGGATGCAATTCTAAGCAGTTGGACCTGCATACTAGTAGTGGTATGCAGATAAGCACCACAGAGAGGTTGTCACGCAGAACACAAAGTACCAGAGTTACACTCATGAACTGGTTAGGTGTTATTTTATTAATTATAGTCATAAAGGGACAACATCAGCTTGGAAATCCCATGAAATACCAGTGTTAATTTCTTGACTGTAATTCTGTGTATAGGTACTGGGAGATGATAAAATATTATCAAAAGTGTATCTTGGCAAAGGGTATAATTCATCGGGTGCTATAGGTTCCAAAAAAGGGACGCCAAGGGGCATTTGTGCTTCCTGTAAATGGAAAGGAAGGTCTTCATGTGAGTTTGTTAGCAGTGCTTCCTCTTTGTTTAAAGTTGTTTGTAAGTTTTCCTGTCTTGCAGATTATTTTATCCTAAAAACAGGAAATTAGTGGAGAAATGTCATTTAGATTCATGGTACAGTCTTGTTAAAAATGTCCCTGAAATCCTCCTTCTCTGAAGGCAGTAGAAACAAGGCTCCTTGCTCAGAAATCCCTGCATTTGACTCTACAAAGACCCTCCCATGGGCTATAAAAAGAGCCAGCATCTCGTTAGTTCCTCTGTAGCCTGGATAAATGGGCTCTGTAATACTTTGCACAGAAGGAAGGCTGGGATTGCTAATCTTCTGTGAGAAGCATTTAATTTATGGTTTGTTTTTTTTCAATCCAGGAGACCTTCAACAAGAACTTGGTGAGTTTTTGTCTGTGTACAATATAACTTTTTCCATGGTATAAAATTTATCCATCTAGCTGTAGGATTCATTTTCTCCATACTGGAAAAGGCCTGTTGGAACATAAAACTGGGAGTAACACCAAGATGCCCTTGGCTAGGGGTGTTTTGTCCATAGCTCTCAGACACTTCTTTCTGGGCTGTGTGATGCTCGTCTCCCATGGCCTTACAGCAGTTGTAGTGGTTCACAGAAAGGTAACTGGAGATACATGGGTTAATTAGTTGGAAGATTAGGAACAAGGGTGTAAGATGGCATCATAAGATGGCTGGGAATCAGTGGAGGGATCTAAATATGTGCTTCATGTACAAGGTGCCCTATAGCATAGAGAAAATCGGCAGCTGTATTCTGGACCAACCAGAAACTTCTTGGTCAGTTCAGAGAGAGTGACTACTAGTAATCCAGCCTAGATGGCAATAATGGGAGTATCTCTGGAGCCAGGCCTTCTCCCAGGAAATGGTACAGCAGCTCCAAATCAGTGGCGTCTTTGGATACTGAGGCTCCCTGGTCACTGCAACTTAGCAAGTGGTCAAACAGTATCTAGACATTTGATATCACCCTGTTGGATGAGAGAGTTAATGGATTTATGGATTTAATGACATGAAAGGTCAGTGTCCCACCTAGTCCTGCCACATGTTGCCTCATTTATGTCCAGCATCACTTTTGTCTTTTCTGGCATTTCCTTGAGCCAGATGCTCCTCATCCAAGACTCCTTTTACAGCTACATTTGCTCAGATAACTTCTCACCCCTATTTCTCTTTCTTCCAGAGTGGAGAAAAGCTGTGGCCTGTCGAGGTAATGAAAGCTCATATTGAATCAATGGTCAATGCTCTCTTTTCTTTCCCTGTGATTTCAGTTCCCTTTTTCCTTTCTGGTCAAATGTTTAGGCCTCCCTAACGTTTTGTGGAGGGAAGTGCTTTTAACTTAGGTCAAAGGATTCAAAACCTCCTATGGCCACATTTTTTTTGGAGGAACCTAGCAGTCCCCACTGCACACACAGCAATTTCTATTTCCCTTTGTGAGTATAAATGGCAGGTTTTTAATCACTTGAGTGCCAAAAGGGTCCCTTTTGCATAGATGACAGTGTATTTCCCCTGGCATCCTGGACAGGTACATGTACATGTGTAGTCTAAGCATGCGAAGCAAGCTATGTTGGCTACAAAGGTGCACTGCTACATATACATGTCCCTCCTGGATGTGTATGGTGTTAAAAGCTTGAAAACGTAGGTGGCAGGAATGTGCGACTAGCAAGTGTTAAACTGCACAAGACGGGGTGGTGCTTTTGTATTTTAGCTCCAACATTTGACTGCCTAGGACAGTTGTTCAGGAAACTGGAAATCTGGGTTCTCGGTGCCCTTTGCCCCAACAGGATTCAAATCTCTTTACATAGCACAGTTCTTGCATTACCCCACATTGTTGTGGGCACTCGTTCTGAAACTGGGCTCTGAACAGTCAAAAGAGATAGAGCTGTGGAGCCGGGAGGCAGAGCACAAGCTAGCTGGGTCTGTCTCAGTGAGTTGGCTGCAGCTGCCCAGGAATGGATAAGGCCCTGTGTTCTAGCCTAGACCTTTGTCCATAATGAGTCTAAAATCTTTCTGCTACATGGCTCTCCAGGAGATGGGTACATGGTAAGAATACATTAAATCACTCACACATTGAGAATCTCCTGTGCTTTTGGCTTTTGCAAAGAATTACTCACCTAGAAGAAGCATCTATCCTGTCTACAGCCTGGCAGGTGCAAGTAGAGGTTGGTCAAAAGAGGTAATAGGAGCCTGACAGAGAGGCCTGTAGGCCAGTAATGATACGGGCACAATTTGATGGGAGGCTTTTGTTTGGTCTTAGACTCATACATGCCTAAGTCATTTGGATAGTTCTGAACATTGTACCCAGAGCCAATAATGTTTTGCCCCTGCTATTTAAGCATGGTGACTGTGGCGGGCCAGTAGGGGGCGCTCCTGCGTTGAGCCGCCCACCTCCCTGCTCCCGACCACCGTCCAGGCTCCGAGTGCCTCCCTTAGGGTGCCTCCTGTCCGGCCGACCCCTTCCCTGGAGCACACCCGCTAGCCTGGGGTTCCCGCTGCCACCATCCAAGGCTCTGGACTCACTTCTGGCTCTGCGCACCTTGGAAAACACAGGCCTGATCGTCCAATGGGTCCTAGACCCAATACAGGCACTTGGGGCACTTCCCCAAGTCAGGGGCTGATTAGGAGGCCTCCCTTAGTCCACCGACCTAAGGGGCCTCCTTGGCATAATTTAGACCCACCCCTCAATAAGTCTCCACACCGGTCACAAAGGAGAACTTTATTGATTACAGGGGTAGGGCGGAAATAGGGTAAAAGGTAGAGCAATATCATAGAAATCTTACAGGAATATCAAAGGAATCCCATAGAGCAAACCAGGGTGGCTGAGGTAGCCGTTTCAACACGCATCTGAGTTACTGAAGCTAAATATCTGATCGGATCTCGAGTAGGTTACTCACTCGCATCATCCAGAGGAGCTTGTTGTTTCCTCTGGAGGCAGGGCACTCTTGCAGCATGCGGTGATGAGGAGAGAGCCAGGGTCAGATTCACCTGGATGACCGCATGGATAATGGCTGCCCTTCTTCCTGGCCCAGGC